ACTTGGCCTTGTTGAGCTTCACAAGGTTCACACAGTCCCACCTCTCCAGCCTGTCCAGGTCCCTCTGGGTGGCACATCCCTTCCCTCCAGCGTGTCACCGCACCACACAGCTTGGGGTCACCCACAAACCTGCTGAGGGTGCCTCCATCCCACTGTCCATGTCACCAACAAAGATGTTGAAGACCACAGATCCCAACACCCACCCCTGAGGAACGCCACCCGTCCCTGCTCTCCATTCAGACGTTGAGCCATTGACCACAACTCTTTGACCATTTTATCAATTCCTTATGCATCAGTGATGGAGTGGTCCATCCATCAAATCCATGACTCTCCAATTTAGAGACAAGGATGTCATGAGGGATAGTGTCAAATTTCTTTAAATCAATACTACATGAACGGAACACAAAACAATAAGCCTGTTCCATGTGTGTCTAAGTTTATACCCACATAAAGGTGTAATGGGAAATCAAAGACTTGTAATTTTAAAGTGTTCTGGATTTAACAAAATGGTAAAGATATTAAAATAAAGCATCTGGGACAGTGTATGCCAACTATACATCATATTGCAAAGGTGATTTAACTTATCGTAAGATTCAAGTTTAGATCTGGAGTTATAGTAGTAGAAGAAAACAAAAGGAGATTGACGGGGCAACACTCTCAGGTCTATGAATAGCACTTGCATTTGATGGAAGAGATCGATTCACTCGCAGGAGAAGACATTTTTCCTTTTTTTGTGTTCAGTTTTCAAGAGATAAAGAAAAAACTGGGAGCAAAATAGACATTGTGAGCCTGCTATCTAATGCTGTGAATTATGTTATTCTAAACCAGACAAATACAAAGTCAGTCAAGGAGCAGTCCAGATGTGTTGATTAGGAATGAATCTTACTGTTATTTGGCTTATCTGTCAAATCATGGAAATTCACGTCAAAAATTACTATTCCCCTCAATCCAAGCCCTCTTTCCCAGAAACAACGTCCTCTTGCTAAAAATTTACATAGACATGTGATAAAAGATTACGAAATTGTTAAAAGATAATCTGAATTATTATTTAAAAAGAATAAAAATAAACGAGGAAATATGCAAGAAATATGAAGCATCCAGATGCATTTGAATAGTCATGGAAGGATGGAGGCTTGTTTTCATTGTCTCTAAGAGAAAATGCAAATGTAAGTATAAAGGCAAGACACAGTCAAAATTAATCTTCAATTCGAAGGAGATTATTTCAGGAAATCCCCCAAACTGTGCGACAAATTCGCCATCTTCACTCCTCAGTATCTGGTGGAAACTCTGGGTCACAACCAATTGTGTGTAGGGAACAGAAATCTTGAAGATGTGGTATGACAAGAAACTGAAGACTGAAGAGCGGTAATGGTTTAGAGAATCCTTATGAAAGAGATGATTGGAAAATCCAAGACAGTGACTTTTTGTTTTGTTTAAATTCTTTGCACCTGAGACTAGAGTAACATCTCCAGTAAGTCCTAACAGGAATGACTGTTGAAAGAGCAGTAATGAAGAGTTAAAAAGCAAGGGGCAAATTAGTAAAATTAAGAATAGCCAAAAAAATAACTTTAAAAGATTTACCAGAAAATATATTAACAGTCGCAGGTAACACATCCTAGCTATGTGTAACTGATAACATCGATCAGGTTAGACTTAGTCACCTATCACTGCAATATTCTACACAAGAATAAAAGTAGTGAAAATTAAATTAATAAGGTACAGAAGATGAACTGCCTATTGACAGGACGGTAATGAAAAATTTTCTTGTTCAAAAAGAAGAATCCCAGGGACTGTGGAGAGATTAAGTGATGGTGTTTGTTCCACGCCCACATTTCTGCAGATGGAGGGCAGGGAGGGAAAAAAAAGCAGGGGTGAAGGGTCTCTATGGAACCCCTGGGATTTATTGTGGAAAAGATCATTATCACTATGTAGAGGATAATCTTAAACTCTGTGGCAGGCCAGAGAAGATAATCTAGCTGCAAGAAAGAGCATTAATGTCTTTTCAAGTGATGTTCATGTGCAGCTGGGGCTGAATCATTTCCATAATCAAAGGCTGAACTGGGAGTGGGGATGCAAAACAAGCGACAAAGCTATTGACGTTTTCTCCTGAAGAGACTTACAGAACTTAAACTGTCAGCAAAGATGTTAACGTGTAAAACCTAGTAGGTGCCATCAGCTTCAAATAACCCACGGTGACCGCTTTGGGTTGGTTGGTACCCATATCATTCTAACCACGTCTTGGCATGCTGGGATGAGATCCGACTCTGGGAGAATAGAGACCTTTAGACAGGATGATCACGGCTGCGGGGCTGAAAATGTGAAAGATAACTCTATGTCTTTAGGTGGAAAGAAAGATGGAGGTTGAATAATGGCGAAGGTACTGTGTTTATAGAGCATGTATTTAGTATGTATCCTAGCTAAAATGTCACTGTTTACAATAATTAGAAGGAGAATTGTGAGAAACTAATTTAAGGATCAGAAGGAGAACATTAAGTCTGCACTAAGAAATAGAAGGAGAAACTTTTCTTTACAGCAATGAGTGAAAATTCTCCAAAACGGAAGAAGCGAAGAGGAAGTTACTACCACACCACTACGCAAGATTATTATCTTCATGTGGACTGAACAGGAGTCCAAGTCTTGAAAACTGGAGAAATCAGTGACAAAATAAAATAAAATACTTATCCATAGATTACAACACATCTTGGCAACAAGGTTGGGTTTGTTGGGGTTTTTTCCTAACCCGAGTTGGGTACATTTGTAGTAGGAAAACAAGCAGTGCCAGACCCTGTTCTTCAGAATGGAGGTCGACAGAAGCAGCTTGGCTACTCAAACACATGCTGGTCACATCCAGGCCACCTACAGGGAATGGCCCCAGGCCCTAAATCTAAACTGTTGGGGGACTGTCACTCTGGGCCAGAACCCACCAGGGAAGATGATAAGAATCTAGCAGAATGGAGAAGAAAAGGATGAGATCCTGCTCCAACACTTTACTTTAGTGGTATAGTTGTAGCTGTGGTGCACAGCAAACTTCGCCTTGTAAATAAATTGATGGAAGCTAAAAAAAAAAAAAATAAAAAAAAAGAACCTAACTGATTCTGAAGGCCTCTAGACACCTCTTTGGCTGGGTCAGCTTAGACTCAACAACTACGTGGGAGCTTAGCCACTTACCTCACTTAGAGAAACATTTAGACACCGACATGCAGGCGGCTGGATCCGAAATGAATCCAGCTCCGGATATCTGAAGTCATTTAGGCAGTTACTTGGAAAGCAGCTATCTATAGTGCCTATTTCTTTTCACTGACTGCTGAAACAGCCTGGGACATGGGATTCGTCTTGTCTACCATGCAGTTGCCTACAAGCGGGTCATTTTTTGCGTACTTTCCCATTAGGAGAAACTCAGACTCTCGACACACTCAGCAAAGATAAATCCCACAGTAGGGTGGCCAGCGTGTTCATCTTGGACTTGGACAACTGACTCAGGCCTTAAAGTTTGAGGAGATGAATTATCTATTTTGGTTATCCTAGGCCACACTTGGGTTGTCCATAGCTAAGTTTTCCCCCTGTTCCTGGGTCCTCTTTCCATAAACCCTTAGTTTCTACAGGACCCTCGGTTTCTCAGCAAGATTGTTGTTTCACTTGTCTGGCGTATGCGGAGTGTCACTGTCCTTTCTCTGTTGTTTCACCTCATCTCTGACTGCAGTCAGACTCACACTCTTTTAGCCTCTAGATCAGTAAGGCTGTGAAAGCTGTAGCAGTAAAATGTTCTGGAAGAACATTTTCCTTGGATTGTCTAACTGAGAACAGGCAGCTCTTTCCAGAGTGGTGGGCACAGCAGAAAGCCCTGTGCTCTGACATGTTGCCTCCACCAGGAAAGATGGTTTAAGGCACCGTTATGCCCTCCCTCTCTCCTTCATAGCTGCACGCTGCTGTCCCTGCGCAAGTCAAAATGATTTGGGTTAAAAATATTTCTCCATTTTTTTCCCCCCTCCTGGATGGTGGCTCATTTGAACCCAAGACATTTCAGTTATCTGATTCAGAAAGTGGCACCACGAATGGTTGTGACATGAGCACGGAGGAGCTGGCACACAGCACTGTAAAGATGGAAAAAAACGTGGCAAGGAGCAGAGTGCCTGCTCCTCTCAGCTGCATTGACAGGGACAAGTCAGGCTAACACACGAGACCTCTGCAGGAGAAATGCAAGTGTTGGTTAGTTTACGTTACAAAGAGGTGGAAATAGCGCTTAAGGATCTGCTGTAGTTGGGAACGGTCAGTGCTGGGTTAACAGTTGGACTAGATGGTCTTAATGGTCCTTTCCAACCTAGATGATTCTGTGAAATCAGAATCTCAGGTTTGTCAGGAAATTCATTTGGGAACAGAAGAACAAAGAAGTTGTCATGCCCTGAATATATTATGAGTCCACCCCAATTGGCACATTCACCAGGTAACCAATATCCTGATCCTACTCATACCTTAATCACTTATGCATTTACTAGTTATATTACCATAACTCTGAGGATCCCACATCATGAGCTGGATCCTGGTCTGTTAGGAATTACACAAGTGCAAGGTGCTACCTAAGGGCTGTCTTATTCTTTTGAATTCCCAGTTGTCAGGCATAGAACAGTTAAGCCTCTGTTGGGACATACCTCCTAGAAGAGGGTGGGAAACTCCGTTACTAAAAATTTATTTAGGGTTTTATACCCAGCTGCAAAACGCTGAGCTTCTGGGCTTCTGTCAGAAGTTTCTTCCCATTGAGCCAAAACGGTATCTGATATACGAAGTTCTTGAATGGCTGAACAAGATTCCTCTCCATCACCCCTTCGTGTAATTAATGGGGAAGTACCTAATGTGACACTAACTACAGAAGCCCCAAGGATTAAGGTAATGTGGATAAACTATTGGCCCCATGAGCCGAAGGATTTGCATCACAGGGGTGAAAACATTGATGTGGTAACACCTGTTAGAATAACTGACCAGCCCCAGGTACCAGAGATACTTGCCTTCTTGCCATCAACAGTGTAGAGCTTCTTCACTGGGAACTGCAGGATCTCTGAAATCTCATCCAGGAGAGTTCTGAAACTCCTGGCATTTCTGCGGTTCAGGATAATTGAGCGTCGAAACCCACTTTCTCCATTCTTAACTAGAGTGATTTTCTTGGGTATTCTGGGGCCATGCTGAGTGAAAGGTGTGGAATAATCTTCAGGTTTGTTCTCCTGAGCTGCTCTTCTCATGGCGCTGGAGGGACGACCGCCTCGCGGGGGGGCTGGCCTGTGTCCCCCAGAAGGAATGCTGATAGGTTTGACATACTTCTTGTCAGAGCAAAGGTAACATCCTCCATCCTCCAGCTGGTCCAGCTCACTGATGCAATGTATTCCTCGTGGGGTGGTGATGGTCCGTACCCCAAATGGCAGTGGGACCCGATGAGAGAGGTCATCCATGAGTGCATTGAAGCTCTTGAACCTTCGCTGGTTGATGGCCATCTTGACTCCTGCAAATTGAGGATCTCCACTCTTGAAGAAGGTTATTTTTTTGGCTGTGGGTACCTTGGTGACCGTGTTTGTCCGAGCCACGGAGGGAAGGGGCTGCTCATAGTTGTAGGAGCTGGTGGTTGACAGGTGGTCAGCAGGCACCTGAGTCATCCCTCTTGCTTAGAGATATCTACAAGAGAAATAAAACCAGAGTAGCGTTTGAGACATGCAGAATCAGTGCTTGACTACCATGGGAGCACAGCTTGTTTTCCTCACAACAGTTTTACCATCTATATTTGATGAAGAGCAGATTGTACCAACATGGAGCTATGAACTCACTGGCTCAGGTAGATAAGAGCGAACACAAATGAAAGAGGAGCCATAACCCTGCTCCTCACAGTTAAACCATCCTTATCCTGCAGATGCCAACGAGAATTCAGTCAGTGTAATTTGCCCCTAAGGCAAAAAAAGCAAGAGTCAGACCCCAAGCAAAACCCACAAAAACTGATATTTGTGTCTTGTTGTCCTTTTGAGTTCTATGTCTTCCTTGTTTATGTTTTTGAGGTTTTTCTCTGAAACTATCAGAGACAGTGATTATTTAGGTTTTATTTTTACAAGCAGAGTGCTGAGATTCTCATGTAACCCTTTAACCTCGTGAACTGGTACATAACAAAAACCAAAACCAAACTGAACTCCTTCATGTAGTGATGGCATATTGTAGCACACAGCCAGTCCTGAGTGTACCGAGGGGCAGAGTATCCTCGTTTCAGAGCATCTGCACATGTTCATGCCATAGTGTGGGAAGGTAAGGTCTGGATGGAAATCCATGGCAGGTACACAAAAAAAAACCCCAGTGAGAAATATCACAAGATCTCAGATAGAACTACAAAAGTTGGTTCTGCTAAACAGAGGGAAAATTTGACATCAGTCTGGTACACACAGACATGAGGAGAATGATCTGCCCAATTTGTGCCAGAGCAGCTGGAGTCCCTCACTTTTAAAGCTAAGGTGGCTGGTGTTTAAGCCTGGAGGCTGAACCCCACCTTTTGGAATCCAAGTTTTTTTCATGTCTTTGCCATGATGGAGACAAGCGGAAAAGAGACTGGACTCTGCACTTTCTAGCTCGCCCTTATTAAATGCATCCTCTTGGAGGTCAAGCACTAAAAAATTCAGACCCCACATGGAATGAAACTATTATGCCAAAAGAGGTAGCACTGTGCTTTATATAGAAGAAAACATAACAAAACAAAACAGAACAAAAGGACACTCTTTACAACTGCTAAAATATTGGCTGTAATGAATGCGACAAAAGTTGATTTCATGAATGTGAACGGTGATTCCACAGTTCACCTGGAGTTAATTACTCAAACTTAAATGGAGATTCTCAAAATTACATTTCGAGATGTCGTCTTCTGATCAGAAGTTCCTGCTCACCGATGGGCAGCAAACCATTTGAATTGTTAGGAAGGAATGCGGTAGCTTGGCTTGTAGCTTGCAGAAGGTGGTTCTGGCTACAAGCGCCTACATCCAATTTGCTTTCCAAATTATGTTCTTAGTTGACAGCAGTTTTCTATGGCAACTTAAAAAAAAAAAATCTCTCAGAAGAAAGACAATGTTTTTAGTGTTCGGAAATGAGTTAGAGAACAATAAATGTATTTCTAATGGCACGCTTCCTTCAGGTTGCTCCTGGTTACACTTCTTGCAGCAGCTGAATGAAATTCTAGTTTCAAGACAGTAGTCACGCTACTCGCAAATTATTCTTTGGAAGACCAGTTCAGTGACCACTGTAATTAATGGGAATCTTGTCACTGATTGCAGAGGTGCAGCATTCAAAAAGCTGTAAATGCTGATTTCCTCACGTTTTAGTACAGACCATTATTTTAATATTATGCTACTCTCAAGTGAAATATTTGTGCACTTTGTACTACAGCAAATTCAGTCCTGCAATAAAATAGAAGTTTAACCTCAGCCAGGTGAGAAAAGACATTAGGCACCATTGGAAAGATTATTATTTTGACAAATCTCTGCTTTTTTATATCCATACACACTGACAAAGATTTCAACATGATTTATTCTTTCCATGTATATATTTCACCAAGCAATTATTCACTTATTTATTTCCTGGTTAAAGATCAATCCATCACTCTATCTTCCAGGGGGAAAAAAAAAAATAAAAAATCTCATTTATCTATATTTCAACAGCTTTCAGAAAGGTGGCTTTAATTTTTATTTTTTTTTTAAATTCTTTTCTTGTGAGTCCTACTTTAGTGCTTTCAGACATCGGCAGCATAATTTCCAAACAAAGCCATTATCCAAATCATAGTCCCTGGACCAATGGTAGTCCACAATATGCTGGCTACAGTCCCAGAAATCTAACTGCTTCCCAAGGATTTATTCTACTTTTTTCCAAGCTGTTAAATAATATTGAAAGAAGTACCAAAAATTTTAAAAAGTGACAAATCATAATTTCCCAGTACAAATCTTTTTTTGGGGATGATTTCACAGGCCTTAGGTCCCTTAGGTTTTGGGTGATAGAGTTGGTTATCCACCCAAGCCAAATGGTCTGTCAGGTCTTTTTTTATAAAGGAGTACATAATGTGAAGAAAGAGCCTCCCACAAAAACTCTGCATGAAATACAGTTGCCACAGGGAGAAGTTTTGTCTTGTGCATTTGAAGTTTCAGAATGGGAAGGAGATTCTTCTATAGATCTGGCAAAGCAATAAAAATGGACCTCTTGCCCAAATACATCTTTCCATAAATACACAAGGGAGGAGTCTCACTGCATATTTTTCTACTTACATTGAAGTACTTCATGCCTCTTGCTCAGGATAAATTTTTCTTATAGGATATCCAAGAGTTTAAATATAAATCAACAAAATAATTAAAAAAACCCAAACAAACAAACAAACAAAAAAAACCCAACACAGCCAATCAACCACCTCCAGGATCTAATGCACTGGACGATGCAGGGAAAAACATTAGCAGGTTACATGCTGTCAATCAAACTGTCCTCAAAATGTCTGACCACAGCTTGGGGGGTTAATCAGGACTGTGTTGCTAAGGATAGAAAGAAAAGCTACCTAAGCTGCTGGAGAAGGCTTTCAAATCCACTGGGGTTTTAGGCACAGTTTGCCCAATCCTTCTCTTGCTTGCGCCCATGTAACTCGGGTACAAATCTGACTCGGTGACACTCCTCTCCAGTCATACCAGTATAAGTGGGAATTCAGTCAAGGCCAAAAAGGGAAATTTTTTTCCCCTTGCATAACGACCCGCGGAAATCTGGAAAACTTTCCTGAGCCACGCTGCTCATCAACTCCCCCACTTCTCAACAATACTTTGGAATCAGATTTATCTTTTGGGTAACGCCAGGGCAATCGGTGGGGTCGAAGTAAAGATGATGGTAGCTCTTTAAGATTTGTGTGTAAGCTTGTTACTTCTCAGCTGGTTGATAGTCGTTTGCTCAGGACATAGATGACTCTGATTCATAACAAGTTTTCAGCTTAACTAAGGACAGTTAAGTGAGTCCCAACCAAATATTTTCAAGTTCATGGCAGATGTCAGAGTCTCAGATGAATGCTCAACGGCTGGATCACTGAGATTTGGGCATGAAATAAGGATAGACAAGCAACCTGTGAATGACAAATAATGGGAAATGACTTGCTCTTTCATAATTCACCTATGAGAGCCTCCCTGCTTTTTCTCACACTTCCTCTTTGCAAAGAAAACACACGCACACGCAACGGAAAAATTGATCGGTTGGATTCAGGTACAAAATCAGTGGGAAACTTCACTTTTGTATAGACTGGAATTCTCGTCTTCTAGCAATATTTATTTATTACTTATGTAGTCATGGCACCTGTGCACCAACATCACTTACATCACCAAGCACGTCCTTTTGTAGAAAGTAAGGAATTGCAGCGAGACCAGAGTTATAAAAGGTTTTATTGGCAGGGCAGGGATTTGGGGATCCTACAAGAATAGGTTCAGCAGGTTTGAAATCTTAGATCCTTAACATGAATCTTAGGAATGTAAGGTTAGTGTTTGAGCCATTCCACAGCCCTCCTTATACAGCATTGCTTCTGCACCTGCGGACAGCACACCTTTCAGGGCCCAGAGACCATTCCTGCGGGATCCTTGACCCAGAAGAGCAAGGTCATCTCTCTGCAGACTTGCAACTACTATAAGATGTCAGCAGCAATACTGGAAAACTTGTAAAAATCCTTCCGTGGAGAAGTCTGAACCCCTCATAGAGGTCATTCTGCTCTATCAGGACTGTGCCAGGCAGCCTGGCCTTCATTTTGCAATTTCTTATGACAGTTCAGAACGACATCTCAAAAAGACTAAACTATAGCAGGTAGGCAAGTCGCGCACTACTAAACCCTGTCAAACCTGCACTATCCAACTTCATACAGAGGAAGCTGTGTGACCGTGTGTTTGGGCATCCCTCATGTGAACCCATAGCCAAAATCCAATGCATCCGCAGCACATCTCTTCACATCAGCCTTCTCCTTCTGTCCATCACACTAAGGTTTGGTATCTCTGAGGTTTTCTTGCAACCTTCTCTCTGTTGGGGATGTAGAAGGATGAGAGGAATCCAGATACAACTCTAGAAAGTGCCTGAGCTGAGGTAGGAGAGCTGTCAGAGAACTCAGTGAATTGAGCACCAAGTCCATAACCACTATCTGAGAGATGAGAAAGCCTTTATGAGAAACGTCCAGACTTGACTTAAATACTTCAAATTATCAAGAGTCCACCCTGTCCAGCAGCAACAGATAATCCCACTTAGTGCTAAATATCTGTGCCTTTTCCCTAGCTTGAATATGCCCAGTGTCACTTTTTGTACGGCTTTTGTTGATAAAACACTGTACAAACTTTTACTGGAAGTTTCTCTTCTCATACAAGTAACTGTAGCTTCCATTTTTACAAAGACATTACTTCCAGAGAGAAAAAAAAAAAAAAAAAAAATTACAGGTCACCATTAACATTCAGAATGGGGCTGGTTGAAAAATCCAGGTGTGTGTTTCTAGAGAAATCATGAACATGATTATTTAATTTGAATTTTTTCCCAGAAAAGGTGGGAGCTTCTGGCAAGAGAACATGAATCATCATTTTGTAAGATCTAACCATGTTTCTCTAAAAAGGCTCATTTCAATTTGCACCGTGCCCTTTTTGAGAAAGAAAAGTATTTTT